TGTGTGTCTGTGTGTGTCTGTGTGTGTCTGTGTGTGTCTGTGTGTGTCTGTGTGTGTCTGTGTGTGTCTGTGTGTGTCTGTGTGTGTCTGTGTGTGTCTGTGTGTGTCTGTGTGTGTCTGTGTGTGTCTGTGTGTGTACGTCACCTGTACGCAAGCTCCTATCCAGTGCTGTTATTGGTAACTAAACTATTATAAAATAAATAAATAGTTTCCAGTAACTGAAATTAAATATATAATTGGATAAAAGCTTAAACTGTAAGTAAACTGGGAAACACTTTACAATAAACAATAAATCCTTAGTTAACTACATTAGTTAACATGAACTAACAATGAAAAATTCTTCTAAAGCATTATTCATAGTTAATGTTAATATTTAATGAACCTGAATATTCATAAATATTGTAACAAATGTATTGCTCATTGTTAGTTAATACTAGTTAATGGATTAACTAAGGTTAACTAAGCAAGGTTATTGTAAAGTGCTACCGTAAACTGAAATAAATCTAAATAGAAATATTTAAAAACTAATAAAAATGAAAAAGCACAAAACTAAAAAAAATCTGAAAATAAAAGCCAATCAAAATATTAATAAATATTATAATAGTGTAGAATTTAAAATAATAAAAATGACAAAAGCACATAACAAAATGACAAGCTTAAAACAAAATTAAAACTGAAAATACAAAAATAAAAGCCAATTCAAAATATTAATACATATTATAATAGTATATAAATAATAATAATAATAAATCACACAATACTCCATCAGGTTAGCAAAATCCTGGTCAGTTAATAATGCACAAAATCTACCAACTTGTCCTATTTGGTTTCTAAACTCTTTCTAGAGTTGTAGTAATTGTTATACATTAATTTATATAAATGTCTGTAGTGCTATATATCTAATTAAACGAGAATCTGCTGATACAGACAGAGGTACACTACTTGCTATTTAGCATCTGCTATTTAAAATCAGGATTACAATTTCTAAGCTGTTAAACTGTTACAAACATCCCGGTCTCCCCTGTTCTGTTGAAAAGTTCCTTTAAGCAAAATATGTGACCCTGGAGCACAAAACCAGTCTTAAGTCGCTGGGGTATGTTTGTAGAAATAGCCAAAAATACATTGTATGGGTCAAAATTATACATTTTTCTTTTATGCCAAAAATCATTAGGATATTAAGTAAAGATCATGTTCCATGAAGATATTTTGTAAATGTCCTACCGTAAATATATCAGAAGAGCACAATAGTGGCCTGGAGGTCACTGGAACAAACAGAAGAGCAGGGCAGGAGGTGAAGTGGTGGTTGTGTGGTTTTAGAGTTACCTCAGCGTCCCATGCTGCCCCGAGCCCAGCTTGCTTAAGCCCTTCCCAAAAGAGTTTGTCGTGTAGAGATAGAAACCATCTGTAGCCAGGCTGCGGCCCAGGTCTGAGTCTGAGACGGGCAAACAGAGAGAGAAAGATGACAGAGAGTGAAAAATTGACCCTTATGACTGGTTTTGTGCTCCAGGGTCACAATTGGGTTGAAACATGTCCAAGACATTTCTTCATGAGATTCGCCCATAAGATTGAGGAGGTGCTAGAAGTTGACATTTAAGAGAGGAATGAAACACTGACGTTCATCGACAACAAAATTTCACGGGGTCCAAACGTGTAGCAAATATAGTTGCTCACAGAGCATAAATGAGAAAGGCAGCAGAACAAAGCAGGAGCTGTAGAAAGAGCACAATAGTGGCCTGGAGGTCACTGGAACAAACAGAAGAGCAGGGCAGGAGGGGAAGTGGTGGTTGTGTGGTTTTAGAGTTACCTCAGCGTCCCATGCTGCCCCGAGCCCAGCTTGCTTAAGCCCTTCCCAAAAGAGTTTGTCGTGTAGAGATAGAAACCATCTGTAGCCAGGCTGCGGCCCAGGTCTGAGTCTGAGACGGGCAAACAGAGAGAGAAAGATGACAGAGAGTGTCTGAGGAGGCAAAAGACAGCAGAGACGCACCGCAAATTCACTTTGAAAGGGAAAAATTACTTCTAGTCAACAGCAAAGTAGGAGCAGAGACTGTACTGGTATGCTTAGGGCCCTATGAAATCCGTTTCATTTTTTTCCCAGATTCCACTTTTGTCAGATATATATATATTTTCATTTAAATGAAAGCAATAAGCCCCGTGAAGCCGTGGTTTACAGTGAATTTATAACAGCTAAGGGGCGTTGTTAGGTAGCTGTTATAAATTCACTGTAAACCACGGCTTCACAGGGATTATTGCTTTTATAAAACGGTTATTCCATATACGTAGTAAGGTTTCACAGAATAAAACAGAGCAAATAAAGTGCAATGATATTAATAAAAACAGTATTCTTCCACCAAACAATGTAGTTCCTCAGAAACAGTTGTGGTTCCAACAAAGTGGTTGCAGAGCAGCACACAGAAGTAAACAAAGGTGTGTGTTTGTAGAGTAATTTACAACAGCTTCGAACGCGGCTCAGCCAATCAGAATCAAGCACCGGAACTCTCCGTTTTATAATTTTCATTTAAATTCTATTTTAATGGTAAACTAAATAATAATCATAAAGCATGTCTAATTAATTTAAATAATTAAACTTCTACAATTTAACAACAATTTATTCAACGTTAAACTAAAATTATATGTTTATGGCCTATGAAATCTGTTTTTTTTTCCCACATTCAGTTTTATTTTTCACAAATATCTTTTTTTTTTCTTTTTGTTCGTTTTACTTTTTTTGTAATGGTTTAATCAAATTTGAATAATCAAAAAGCATGTCTAATCAATTAAACCGATACAACTTTTTAAGAATTTATTCAAATGTTTACAATAATAGGGCCCTAGAAAATGTTGGTTGTTTGTTGTTGTTTTTTTTTCAGCAAATTCTGAGTTATCTCTTTTAATTTTCCAGGAATTATGATTTAATACAGCTTTATTACCAAAAACGGTGGTAATCAAATTAAGGCATAAAAAAAAAAAAATTAGTGCTGCACAAAAGAGGTTTACTGTTAAAAGTAAAATCTGAAATAAAATGTGTGATATTCCTTCAAAAATAAATAAAAATACATTTATTACTATTATTATTATTAATTTGAGAAGTTAATTCTACTGTACAAGTTATATATTTCTGTTACAATTTCTTTAAGTAAAACTAAACTTGTATTTTGACAGGTTGTCATGAAGACCACACAGAGAAACAAAACAAAAAAAAAAGCAGAATAGCTTCATATTTTTTCATAGTGTAAAACCCTACTTTTGATTTATTCATCCAAAATTTGTCAAATTCCATGACATTCCGTGTTCAACTGAACATTCCATTTTTGTGACTGGATCCTGCGATTCAGTCCACGTTAGAGAAATCATAGGGCCCCACGTACTGTATGTTGTAGCATTTCTCAAACTGAATAAAAAAAGTTTCTCCTATGGCAAATGTTGTGTTCAATTGTTGTTTTTAGCTGCGTCAGAGATTGTGTCCTTCGAAGGCTGCATTTGAAGACCGATTGCGTGACCACGGTGTGACGAAGGCTGTCCAAATTCGAAGGCTCCTTCAAACGCGGCCTCGAAATGCATCCTTCGTTTCCCGGGCAATGAAGGATACAACCGATGGATCCAAGATTCATTGCGTGCCGAAGATGACAGGGTTTTTTTCTTAGAGAAAATGCCGGATTACACTTTTAAATATTTCTCGAATATCTAACGATACAAATGTGAGGGAAAAACTCTAAAGTTGTTCAAATGTTGACATATCTTACAGAGATGCGATTTTATAGATGGTTTATAATTGTTATTACATGCATAAATGGACCGAAGTGAGCATATTTTAACAGGTTGTGAACCTTGTTTTTAGACTGTTGAATCACTTTCAAAAAAGTCCAGTACAATCGCTACTGCCGCTCATCAACGGGACAAGATCAGTCCTTCGCACACCAGACCGTCCCATTTCACAACACTCAGTCCGACCTTCGCACCCTTCGAAGGCGTGGCCTTTAAAGTCCCCATCCTTTGAAGGATCCAGCCTTAGAATTGGGACGCAGCTATCATGTTCAAAGGGTTGAGGCTGACACACAGCCAAATATTTGATTCATTCCCAAGCAGAAATTTATTATAAAAAAGCAGCAACACAGTAAACGTATGTGGACACCCCTGCTAATTAATGGGTTTCCAGTCATTTCCATAAGGATAAATATTAATGCTGCTGCATACAATGGCATTTTAGAGCCATCTCGCCGGTACAAACACTGGTCAGCCATCACTTCTCCCTCACCTTTGCTCTCTGCTCCAGCGGCGCTGCTCTCTGGCGTGGGCAGCATGTCCTCAAAGCCCCACGAAACACTGTGTTTCGCCCCTAACAGACAGGACGGTGAGCCTGGACCTCCCTCAAGAAGCAGCAGTCTGCAAATGAGAGGATTTTACGCTTTTCTGAGCAGCAAATCAGCATGTGAGAATGATTTCTGAAGGATCATGTGACGCTGAAGACTGGAGTAATGATGCTGATTATTTGGAAATAAAATTTTACGGCATATTCACATAGAAAACAGTTAGTTTAAATTGTAATAATATTTCACAACATTACTGATTTCACTATCTTTTGATCAAATAAATGCAGCTTCAGTGAGCAGAAGAGACTTCTTTCAAAAACATTTTTTTAAAAATCGTAATTACTCTTAACTTTTAACCGGCAGTGTATATGGCTGGTGTAAACAGTCACATGACCAAAGCTGTTTAATTTCTGTTTGCCACTCTGAAAAATCATGTCAAACAAGCTCCAAAAAAGTTACAGTTTTAAAACTGGTTAATAATTCCCACCCTGTTTATTCTGCACCATTCATAAGAGTTAACTACCAACAGAAGCAGTTTAATATGTCTTCACAGACAGTAACCGTTAGACACATCTCACCTTTGGAGAACATCCGCCACTGGAAGCTGACCCAGGTCTGTCTGTTTCTGCAGCAGGTGGACAGTGTGAATGAACGTTTTGAGGGAACCCCTGCAAACACAGACAGAGCAACAGCGTTTCCTTGCTGTATTTTCCTTCCTTTCTTGACTGACATAGTGATGCATATTGCGATGAAATCAAAAGAGACTCCTTCCTAGACATATCAGATCAAACGTGCTTGAAGGAGAAGCACTGAAACACTTTAGTACTTAAGTGCTGTGTGTCTCAGCTTACCATTTATGATTGACTGGAAAAACTCATCGTTTAAAAGGGCCAAACATACATTAAGAGTACCATACTTGACAACTGGGGCAATTGTACTGAGAGACATAAATTTTAACTACCAGAGATAATCATAATTCTCCAGTTTTGTCGTCCGGACAATTGCTTTGTAGTACAAATTTTAAGAAATGTTATGTTTAAATATGGAAATGAGGCATTATTAATTAAATACGATGAAGCCAGGTTCAAAAGTCTTCATTTTGTTGACATATTAGGGATTTTGGATCTATTTTTATCACTCCATAAGAAAATATTGCCAACAGAAAAAAATTCACCTTGTTTTTAGAAATTAAATAGAATATAAATCATGTAAATGATATGAACAAACCCCGTGGTAAAAACTTTCAGAATATAGATAGGAATAAAAGTGCTGCCGAAGTGTAGAAAAACTCATCCTTTAAAAATATGAATTGTAATTGAAATCCAAAGACGCAAATACATAAAATGTAATAAAATAAACACTTAAATGTCTATTTTGGATGTTTTCCTCCCACTAGTGTAAAAGCCGAACCGTGGGTGGAGAACGGTACAGTTCGATTTTTTAACAAGAACTGTATAGTGATGCAACAAAATTTTGGCCAAAATAGTTTTGGAGGGCCGAAATCATTGACTGAAACAGTTAGTGTTTCTCTGATGGTGAATTTTTACTGTTTCAGTGTCTATTTTTGTGCTCACAACTGGATAAACTACACCAGGCAAACTTAGTGCTGGATAAACAATAATGATTTCTTGTTTTTAACTCTTAAATCTCATGATCGATCTTTTAGTCTATGCTGTTTTCTGCTGCATGAACTTCACTAATCATTATTTGTAGCACCTGCCATCCAATAATCATAGTAAGCTTTGTGCTTGGTTACTTTTAATAAGAAAGTCAAAATTTGAAAGTCTCAGCTTTCAAATTCTGCCCATTTTATCACAAAATACAAACAATAAATGTGTTTGTGACGCTCTTTACTGAAGTGTGACAGAACGCTGTAGCACATCAATTCAAACAGCAGGGGAACCGATCATCTCGTCCTCTTTACTACTAGTTATAGCACCAAATAAATATGAAATGAATATAAGAAGGTGTTGAGAGAAACAGAACAACTTACTGAAAAGTATCATGTCTCATGTAATCACTCAATCAGTGTTTCAACCACAGAAAGACATCAGTAAATTAGTTTGTAAACAACATGCCACATCACATTTACTTCAGGAAGACATTCACTGTCCACAAACTCGCTAGTCGGCTAGAAAAAAAAACTGTAGAGAGAAGCATTTTGGTAAATATATGCACTATATTACGTATTCATTATATTTTTACTCAACCCGTTGTCTTCATTATTTAATGTATGTTTGAATAAATTTGGCAACAAGTTTTATTTATTTTTTGTTTATATTTCAACAACAAACTGGAGTAGAAACATAATTCTGTCATTAAAAAGTTGACAATATGCAATTTTAATGTTTGCATTTGAGCACTGATTTATTAAAAAAATGTGATCAATTAATTGATTATTAAATATCATTTATTTTCAGTTTTGGTTTCCAGCTGCATCAAAACTTTAATTTCGGTTTCGGTGTTTGATCGGTGCATCACTAAAAATAGCCCAAAATCTCAAAACTGACCAGTGCATGAAAAAACAATGATTTTGCAAACTATTGCAAAGTGACTAAAGGCTATGAATAAAGGCCGGAAACGAACAGCCGCTGTGCTGCGCTCACCTTGCACATGATAGAGCCACTAGAGCAGCTGCTGCGTTCTGCCTCTGCTGTTGGGTGAGCAGTGGTCTCGCCTGTGCCGTTCCCTCCGGCTCACTCCTCTCCTCCAACCAGGAGCAAAGCAACCTCTCCAGGCCATTAAGGCAGTCTGCAGGCTCCTTGCCCAGGCTGAGCGGCTGGCAGTCGCAGAGACACGCGAGCAGGACCTCAGCGGTGACGCCGCAGAGCGCAGGGTCGTGCCGAGTTTGCGACTGCAGTAGTGGAAAGACCAACAGGAGGCCGACGCGTGAGGTAAACGGCGCCTGATCGGTGCTGGCGGCCATCGGAGGGTGGTGAGGATGGTGGTGATGTTGAGGCTGCAGGAAGCCCTGTCGCTTAAGCAGGGCCAGCGTCTCCTCGTCGGCCCCTCCGGCGCTCACTGGGAGGACCCCATCATGCTCCTGCTGCTCCTCCAGGGCCAGTTGTTGCTGCGCCCCCCATAGTCCGCGCAGAGCATTTAGACGGTACTCCAAAAGTCTGGTGTAAGCGTTGCTCTGGTTTCCGCAGACGGCTCGCAAGCGCTCGGCAAGCTCCGCTGCGTTCTTGGTCTCGAAGGTCAAGATCTGCAAGAGCACAGAATGGCATCGAAAAACCTGAAGCATATTTTGGCACAAGACCTTCATCAGGTTACTCTAAAATTAGTTACTTGCTTCAATGTTGTCACATTCAGGGATTGTATCTAACATTTCAAGTGGACACTTTAGGAAAAAAATTAAATGACTAAGGATGTAGGCCCCTTTAAAAGCTAGAATGGGAACACATCCCCAAAATTATTAGTTGAATTATTGTTATTTATTAATTCATTGGCCGAAAAAAAAAAATAAAAATAACTCCCCCCACCTACAATTCCTGCCGGTACGAGACTCGAATCCACAACCTCGGGTTACGAGTTCGACTCTTTAACCATTAGGCCACAACTTCCCTTTTCTTAAAAGTTAAACAGCATAGATAAAAAAGTGAAAATATGACACTCAGTAGTACTTAAATAAATAGATGCTCACTATGTTTCCTTAACAGAAATTCTGTGAAACATAAATCGCATAAATCATTTAAAAGACAAACCATTATTAATTACAGTATTACACCCGCACTAGTGGTGGGTACGTTTTTATCACAATATTCTTAAAATGTTGGTTAATAATGATATATCTCACATTATACACATTTCTACGGAACAAATCAAACAAAAATTTCCAATATAATGGTTGACCTATGACAAATTTGATTAATTATGTTTTTTTTTTCCATATTTGAACGGTCATGCACAATCAATATAAACCTTCGTGGCAACTATATATAATTATTTGATATAAATGTGTAATTAATCTAGCCATTACTCTGCGGTAATTTGCTCAGTGCGTGACAACAGGACCTGGTTCCACTGGCTTAGGTTAAAAGAAGTACTCAAAATTTGCTTCATTTCAAGATGGACATGACTGAAAGTACTGAGACAGACGTTTATTCTGTTACTCAATAAACATCTGACTCATGACCGTCAGTGATGAACAGCACAAAACAACACGTCTTTCCCTACAAGCTGCACACAAAAGCACCCGGTTTAGTCCAATTCACAACAAATGACACTGAACACCGTCCGGCCGACGACACAGAGCGTCCAAAAATTTCACAAAGTTTTCAATTTGATTACTTTATATTTGTCCCAAATCATTGTTTCATAATTTACCAACTTCACCCTATGCTGCAAGATCCATTGTTTAGACATTTGTTTAGTAGTTTGTGTTTTAGTGTTTCGACATGAATCACGTTTTAAAAAATCGGATAAAATAATTGGCATTCATCAAGCTGTATGTGATCAAAATAAAGACATGCAACAGACTGGAAGTCCACAATGACATTTGTATGGCAAACGCTGAAACAGCAAGAAGGCAACAAACAAGAGGAAAAAACAACCAGATGGATCTAAACGAGGAGAAGGGGTTTCTAGAGGTGTTTCTCAGATGGGCACAAAACAAAAAAACAAGTACCAGGTACTTGGGGTTCATTGTTGACAGTATGATTATTTAGTTTTGTTTAGACTTCTCCAATGTTATGTTTACGACATAAATGCATGACATATCGTGATAACCAAGACCTGCACTTGAAGGCAGCATTAAATTCATAATTATGACTATTTAATTTAAAGTGAAAAGTTCTGAACATCAAAATGTGCAAATACAGCGCTGTAAAAAACTTTACTTGCATTTTTGCAACACTGTAAGTGAGTCCCATCAGGTAACCAAAACATGTACGTGTGGTCAAGCGCAAAGACCATAAGTGTGGTATTGAGACGGGGCTCTGAAAGTAGATGCATCGCAGTTTGCATACTATTCTACGCTATTTTGTAGTATGCATAGTGTGTGACTTTATGCAAGTAAAGTGCACTTCAAATACCCAGATGGTGCACTTAATTAACCAAAAAAAACGAAGTGTGCACCAGACGGTAGAGCGGCGATTTTCAAACTGGAGCCTGGTTTCAAACAATGTCAAAATAAATAAATAGTATAAGCACATAAATTAGTAATGTAGTAAATAAATATTAAACCGTAAAGTACTATAATCAGTAACAATGTCAAACGTAATAACGTAACTAATTTTCAAAGTAATATTTAATGCATTTTTCACTATATAAATTGGGTCTCCATGCAAGAAACTATATAGAGATCTTTTAAATTTTAGGATGGGGTACAAGGATGATCATATGTGGGGGTCTGTGGCATCTAAAAGATGGCGTACACAGTGCGTAGTGTGTAGTGCATCATTTGGGACACAGCTAGTGTTTATCCAGTATATAAGATGCATATAATACACAAGATATTAAAGGAAGCATCTGTGTCGGAATCATAAGAGAAGCTTAGTCCGCACAAATCCAGTGAGCCACTATAGTATCTGGGGCACACTAATTCTAATCTCGGATACTATTTAGGGTGGATGGTGTGCGAATTGGGACACATAGATAGTATGTCGCCTAACAACGCCCTTTAGCCGTGACTATATGACTACAATCGCAGTTTAACACGACTATTCGTTACTTAACAAAAGGAAAATGACATTGTGTGGTTAGGACAACATGTGTGTTGTGTTGCGTTGTGGGGGGTAAATGCCACTATTATAACTACTGTATGTCGTATTTTGACCAGAATTACATGCATTGTCTTAAACATGTGGTTTCCACCTTAGATTGTAACATGAACCCTTTACGCACAGCAGGTCGATAGCTGCCTGCCACACGCCAGTGACAGATTCAACTCCTGCTACTAGCGTTAGCCTGTCTGTCGAAGCTATGCTAACGCGTCAAACTAACACCAGAGACACACCAAAACTGCCTGCCTCTCATTATATCCGACATATACATTTACTTTAACAACCGTATAAGCTTCGCTAACATCGACTGGGCGTTAAATGCTATATTTGTAGCGCTAATATTTGATACGGCTAATAACGGGCTGAGCGTGTTTACATCAACTAGCGACCGGAAAAACGCGAGATGTGATTTAAACGACGTGAATAAACACCTTTTATCGTTCGCATGCTGCTATCTGACAAGCCTGTTTTGGCAGAATATGAACTATCCAGGCGAGCCGAGTTAACTTTGGCGTTAAGCTAATTAAGTTCGCGGCTAATCGCAATAACGGGATGGACCCGATCTGATAAATGCACACCTCCTGCTCGGACTCCCCTTGTTCGGACACTCCGATCTCGCTGGGCAGCTCCGCAAGGTCCGTGACCCGAATTAGTCCGTCGTGGAGGAAAATAGTCTCTTCCTTCACCGACAGCCACTGGGAGGAATCCACGGCACCCGATCCCATCGCTTTCTCCTCCGAGGAAAACGGGCAAAGTGGTCAAACATTAAATTCTGCGCGCGACGGGATCTGGTTCAGCTCGCGCCGGCGACAGACAGGCATCAACGCATCATCACTGAGCGCGCTGGGACTACTACCCTCAGTCAGACGCCACAGCTACTAAACCAATTCAGTCACAGTGCGGTTTAAAGGGGCCATATGATGCGATTTCAAGTTTTCCTTTCTCTTTGGAGTGTTACAAGCTCTTGGTGCATAAAGAAGATCTGTAAAGTTGCAAAGACTAAAGTCTATGTGGAAATATTAGCATAATGCTGCCCAAATGTGCACGCAGAGAAAGAAGGCGTGGTTTCAGGAACGCAGCAGTGTTGATGCAGGAAACCTGTGTTGTTATGACCCCTTTAAAGGGGTCATATGATGCTTTTTTAAAGATCATTATTTTGTGTATTTGGTGTAACAGAATATGTTGACATGCTTTAATGTGAATCTCTTCATCTGGAATGCATCTGATGTCAGTTTGACATGCATTCTAGACATCTTCTATTTGACATCTAATAGGAAACATTTACATTTATTAATTCAAATAGAAACGTCCTATAGAGGTATTCAGTTGTGTGGAAAATGTTACTTTTAAAAGTAATGCATTACGATATTGAGTCACTTAGTTACTTTTTATGGAAAGTAATGCGTTACGTTACTTTTGCATTACTTTTTCTCATCTGCGCTGGGCTCATGTTTTCTCTTTTCAGCAATACAAAAAAAGGAAGCAAATGTTATGTTTATCTAAAGTCATTTTCGCTTAGTATGGTTGAATTGGATCATTGAAGGTCAGCAGCAAAGACACTGGTTAATAAAATTAGATTAAATGCATAAAGGATATTTGTGTTATTTCCCAGCAAACATGTGACGTCAGAGAGACGTTCAGATCATGTCTGTATAGTTCAATATCTAAACGTCTGACTAAGACCCCTTTTGGATGTCTGTGGACGTGCAAAACTGGTTCAATATCTGAATGTCTGACTAAGACCCCCTCGGACAGAAGACCGAAAAGTAACACAATTCATTTTTTATGCATATTAAGAAATTTTAAGGCTCTTTAAGTGTTCCAGGAGAGTAACTTGTGGGTTTGGCGCCAGTGGTGGAGTGCAACATTTAAAATATAAAACACTTAGCAGTGTCTGACCGTGGACGCACATTTTGCAGGTTAAAATGTCCATGGTTAATATTATGTAATATCTTGTTAGCATCACATAAACGCTGTCTGGATAATGATGATGAATAATGTCTGGATAATCAATCATTGTGTCATATACTCGGACAGAAGACCGAAAAGTAACACAATTCATTTTTTATGCATATTAAGAAATTTTAAGGCTGCTTAGTCTTGTGGGATTTTATTTTATTACATTTTTTTGTTCACTTGAGAGTTAAAATTTAACTATTAGAATTTCGTTTTATCAGCTTGTTAATATTTTGCTGAAAAACTCATTAAAGATGGTTAAAATGTAATCTCTTGTCATTTCAAACTATTTTTTTATTTCTGTCCTTTTTAATGGATCAGATAACGTATTTCCAATTGCAAATAAGGCTACTAAAATGTCTTTGCACACCTATATGTATTGGACCGGTACAACTAAGGGGATAGGTATTCATTTATTATTTACAATTTTAAAGCAGTACTTCTGCACACTGCCTTTACTATGACTAGTATGAGTTTTATTGAATACCATGTGGTCATCCAACCTTGGAACACCTGATGGTGACATGTTCATGGTGTTCAATAAAGCTCATAGTAAGACAAGATTGAACTCTGGCCTCATTAACAATTAAAATAGTTCAGTTGGTTTAAATTGAGTGCAACAGGGATGTCTGAAATTAGTCCAATTAAACACATCGTAAAGACTTGTATGAACGTCTGTATGTGACGTTGAAAAAAAAATGTAAAAAATGACGTAAAAACTTTCATTTAGAACCCTGTAATGATGTGGCTTGGACATCAATAAAAACATTTAAAAGATGTTTAAAAAGACATCTTTTAACCTTCACTATTTATGTCACTTGGACGTCAATAGTGAACTCATAAAAGACGTCTAAAACAGACATCGCAAAAACTTTCATTCTGGCTCCTCAGTGGACGTCTTCTGAACGTTCACTATTTATGTCACTTGGACGTTAATACTGAACGCTAAAAAGACGTCGCAAAAACTTTCATTCTGGCTCCTCAGTGGACATCTTTTGAACGTACGACAAAGACGTTAAATTGACGTCTTTTGGACGTGTCTTTGCTCAGTGGGTTATTTCTTTACAATATATTTTTAGTAGATTTATTTCAAAGTAAGGGGTTAGCCAGATTTGCTAACAGCTTGCACCAGTGCACACCCTCTTTTTTGCATTTAAAAAAAAAAGGACCACTGTCAGGATTTACTAAAGATGCACAGTTATTTTTGCAGCTGACCTTATTGCATATGCATTTGTATGAGTTTCCTTTTCAGACGCAAAATTTATGGGAGAAGAGTATGAGTCATGCAGGGTGAGATTCCAAATTAAAAATTGTAGTTACATAATCCATTACATACTTTTAGATTATTACTTTTGACCTAACTTCTAACTTGCATTGATTTAAATAGTAAAGTCTTATAGTACCATATTGATATGAAAATGCAAAGAAAAAGAAAATGTGTTCCTTTTATTGTTATTAACAACATGAATTGCATTAAACATTACACTCTGTCAAGGTTTCCAAACTGGGGTTTGTGAAGGAACTGCAGGCGGTTCGAGAGTTTAATGAAACGCTAATAATGAATTAAATCATACAAATGTTAATGAAAACAAATCGTTTTAAAATAACATCCATCATAATAAAAAAATGAAATATTTTATTTGTTTAACTGCATGTCCTGTGACCATTAACTAACGTCAGAGAACCGTGAGCATGCAAATGTGATACTTAATTATTAACGTATTGCCTTAAAATCAGGGGTACATCAAGTAAATATATAGCCTATTATATGAAAGTGCATGGCATGTAAATAAAGAATAACGTGCATTTGTGCATGTTAATGTGTTTGGAAGACAAAGAGACATAATAATACATGGTTAAATAACACACTGAATGATAATTCAAATAAAAATGAATGTGTTCATCAGTAGTTGATGCAGTGTTGAAATGCTGAGAAAACTCTTCCTAAAATTGAAATGTTTTTTTTGTAAATCCAGTGGTCAAATGCTGTGTGGCCTCTCGATTTTCTCTGTAATTGTATCCACCTGACTAGTGACTGGCCTTTGTGTGAATGTCCACAAAACTGCAAGACTTTCTGAGTGTATAATAGCGGTGGGCTATTTTAGAAAGGAACATTTAAAAGCTGTTAAATCCCTTATTTCTACCCATCATTCATAGTTTTAAGTCATGTGACTGGCTCGTAGACCTGGCGGGTAAAACATCCATAGAACTGCAGCACAAGCCTGTCAAGTTTCCAATCCACAAATATTTAGATCGTCTCTCAAAAAGGATTAAAAAAAAAAAAGATTTGTGAACAAAATGCAAGTTTTGGCCATTTGCAATACATATAAAACACTCACCGCAATATTTCAATTAAAAACTGCATGACATTCTAATACGTTTAATGTGAAAACACTTAAAGTGCCTTTAAAACAGATCAAATTCAATACACACCTTTTTAATGATGCGTATAGGCCCAGATAGCGCAGGTATGTCTGCAAGACGTCTGTTAAAGATCTCTTCATCTGCTAAGCATCTGCTGTGTACAAACATCTGATAGACGTCTTTAAGATGTCAGTAAAGACATCTTTTAACCTTCACTATTTATGTCACTTGGACGTCAATAGTGAACTCATAAAAGACGTCTAAAACAGACATCGCAAAAACTTTCATTCTGGCTCCTCAGTGGACGTCTTTTGAACGTACGACAAAGACGTTAAATTGACGTCTTTTGGACGTGTCTTTGCTCAGTGGGTTAGCGTATTTAAATTATTGCAGGTTTGCCTCATATTCTGTTTTCATTCATTTTGAGGAATACTGGATCTGTTTTTGTGCAAGTGAGATGAGTAAATGCATGTTCACATTTAGTCTAGAAATACAGTAATCAAAGTAACTCAGATATTTCCTTGTAAATTAAAAAGTAATGTGTTACTTTACTAGTTACTTGAAAAATGTAATCTGATTAGTAACTCATGTTACTTGTAATGTGTTATGCGCCCCAACTTACTGATTCCAAATTACATGATAAAAATTGTAGTTACATAATCCATTACATACTTTTAGATTATTACTTTTGACCTAACTTGCTTATGACATTGATTTAAATAGTAAAGTCTTATAGTACCATATTGATATGAAAATGCAAAGAAAAAGAAAATGTGTTCCTTTTATTGTTATTAACAACATGAATTGCATTAAACATTACACTCTGTCAAGGTTTCCAAACTGGGGTTTGTGAAGGAACTGCAGGCGGTTCGAGAGTTTAATGAAACGCTAATAATGAATTAAATCATACAAATGTTAATGAAAACAAATCGTTTTAAAATAACATCCATCATAATAAAAAAATGAAATATTTTATTTGTTTAACTGCATGTCCTCTGACCATTAACTAACGTCAGAGAACCGTGAGCATGCAAATGTGATACTTAATTATTAACGTATTGCCTTAAAATCAGGGGTACATCAAGTAAATATATAGCCTATTATATGAAAGTGCATGGCATGTAAATAAAGAATAACGTGCATTTGTGCATGTTAATGTGTTTGGAAGACAAAAGTCTTCCAGAGACATAATAATACATGGTTAAATAACACACTGAATGATAATTCAAATAAAAATGAATGTGTTCATCAGTAGTTGATGCAGTGTTGAAATGCTGAGAAAACTCTTCCTAAAATTGAAATGTTTTTTTTGTAAATCCAGTGGTCAAATGCTGTGTGGCCTCTCGATTTTCTCTGTAATTGTATCCACCTGACTAGTGACTGGCCTTTGTGTGAATGTCCACAAAACTGCAAGACTTTCTGAGTGTATAATAGCGGTGGGCTATTTTAGAAAGGAACATTTAAAAGCTGTTAAATCCCTTATTTCTACCCATCATTCATAGTTTTAAGTCATGTGACTGGCTCGTAGACCTGGCGGGTAAAACATCCATAGAACTGCAGCACAAGCCTGTCAAGTTTCCAATCCACAAATATTTAGATCGTCTCTCAAAAAGGATTAAAAAAAAAAAAGATTTGTGAACAAAATGCAAGTTTTGGCCATTTGCAATACATATAAAACACTCACCGCAATATTTCAATTAAAAACTGCATGACATTCTAATACGTTTAATGTGAAAACACTTAAAGTGCCTTTAAAACAGATCAAATTCAATACACACCTTTTTAATGATGCGTATAGGCCCAGATAGCGCAGGTATGTCTGCAAGACGTCTGTTAAAGATCTCTTCATCTGCTGTGTTCAAACATCTGATAGACGTCTTTAAGATGTCAGTTTTACATTCATTCTAAATCATAAACATCTTAAAGACATCTTCTAAACGTCTATTTGACATCTGATAGGAAACGTCCTATAGACGTATTGCAGATGAGCAAACACTCTAAAAAATACATCTTCCAGATGTAAACACAGACATCAAATAGACGTCTCTGTGATGGATGTGTGCTATCAGGTGGCCTACTTTATTCAGGCAAGCAGGTGAGCTCGGAATATGAACGCTATGCGCTAAATGGTTAAGTATTTTCTTTATAACGGTTTGCTATGGGAAAACATTTAATGTGAAACTTTGCACATTGCGTTTATATTCTGGGTTCATTTGCTTGCCTGTGCAAAGTATGCATCATCAATAAGGTGTATACTGAATTTGGCCTTTAAATATCACTGTCTTACTACATTACTACTTAATGCAAACCTTGTAAAAATAACTGGCGTTCAGCGGTCAGTCAGATTTTTCTTGGACTTTATGACATGAATGGAATGGGTTTGCTAACTCAAATTAGGTTTAAGTGACTTAAAGGCTGAAAGGCCACATTTTAGAAGATGTTGATAATTTGGATGTAATACATTTTGTAAGCTCATTCTACAGCAGTAAAAGAATGAAGCTGATCACTGAATGTAATACCGTGGTGTTATCATCTGCTGTCTTTGAGGAAATCCGTCTGGCGAGAACTTCAAATGAACAAAGAGTTTATCTTGCTGTATGAGTAATACCAAGCATACCACAGTAAATTGCATGCAACACTTATTTCCTGACACTGCAGGCGAGGATTATGCTCATAGTAGTCTAGTTTATGCCAAGTTTCTGTCAGAGCATATCAAAAGTATCAAATATTTTAGCAGAAGGAAACTGCTGTGAGGTTGATAACCTTGACTGTTTTTTGGAGATGTGACAGCAGTATGAGTGTCTTGGATGTTTCATAAATGTCTATCCCTATGTAATGTTAATACAAATTGGAATTATTTTCCCTTCATATCAACTGTATATATAACAATGGTCTGTAATCATTTAGTTAAAAATGAGCACTTTCTACAATTAGGCCTAGTAAATATTCACATCAAGTTAAAGTGGCTCCAGCAGTTGCATGTACTTTATAGATTTATCAAAACATTGTTTTATCAAACCATTGCAGAAATGGCAGTTAATTAATACTTGGCAAGCTATATAATAAAATTGTGACATCCTTTCCCTGACTTGGCGTTTATGATAAATACCCTTTTCCTAAGAACACAGTTCAACCTTTCAGTTAACATCACCTTCATTATGTACTTGACTTTTTTAAACAAGACCGATAACAAAAATATAATGATACTGACATTTTAGGAGGACACAATTATTATTTTAAATAGGATTGTGTGGCTCTGGGTTTGAAATCAACAAACAAAAACAAGCATGCAATTAAACTATTTTGACTTAAATTTTGTTACTCTAGATTTACAACATGTATTTTGATGGCATCTGCTGGAGGAATCCACAAACTGCAAAATGCAGTTTAGACTTTATGGAAAGAATAGATGCAGTTCTCAGACGTGATGCACAATAAACTTTTTTTGCACAGTTGCACACAAAAACAACACATGCACAGTTTAAACACAACATGAGTACATTTTGAATATATTGCCACATTTCTTTTTATTTAAAGTTTTTATCATTACCTGCAAACAATGCACAGTGGATTTTATAATGCAAAAAAAATCTGGGGTGTATTTGTTTGGCCATCTTCTTTCAAAGTGTAACAATCCACTGAGGCGAGTTGAAGTGAACCCAAGTGCAGTTTATTCTAAACATGAACAAATACAATCAAAAACAGCCTTGGCTTGACTAGAAACATGAAATGACCATGACCATGAAAACAAACTCACCACAGGGAACAAAGCTAGACAATGAAACATGAAGTCTATAAATATCAAACAAAGGGGTTACATGACACAATCGAAAAAAAAAAAAAAACAGATTGTGGAACAGTGTCCCTGGGCTGTGGATCAAGGGTAGGTCTGGAGCGTGGAGCAATGACGAAACTATGGACTGTGGAGCAGTGGAGGACCTGGCACGTGGAGCAACCATGAAGGATTAGGGAACCAGGGCGGAGCCAGAGACCAAGGTGGAGCCGGCAGAGCAGGAAGCCAGGGCGGAGCAGGCAGGACGGTGAGCGGGATTTCACCAAGTACAACATCCTTGTTGATCCTGGAACATCATTCCAATCAACCAATCAGAACTGAGCGATAACTTTTCAGGAAATGTCAGTTTCGCATTTTTGGACAGTAATGTTGATCTAGGATCAACAAAAGATGTTGATCCAGGAACATGTCTTACTTGGCAAAATCACGGCGATCCAGGCAGGACAGAGCATCCATGTAATTTACTTTAAGTAATTTAATCTTAAATTAATCTGATGATGATGCTGTCAGCTATATATTATGAGTGTAGTGTAGCGTCTGGACCAATCAAAAACACAATTTTTCATTTGATTTAACGTATGTGTGTGTGTGTGTATGTGTACATTAGACCAGTTTAAGTGTTTATGTGTATGTTAGACCAGTTTAAGTGTTTATGTAGTATGTTAGACTAGTTTAAGTGTTTATGTAGTTAATAAAGTCTTACTTGTATCACACTTGACGTTGTTCATTGTTTGCTCATAACTGGAGTCACTTAATCATGCAGATTTATGCTACAAGCTCTTTGTAGAATTGTACAGTAAGAAAGTTATTTCCCTTAACCAGGAAATTAACGTTCTTAGAATTGACAGACAGTTGACCCTGAGAGGTCAGCTAAATATCTACAGCGGATCTAAATATTTATAATTAATTATAACTAGTTATGATTAATTATTCATATTTCCCCATGAGCTGATTCGCTACAGTAGTATTCACAGCTGTAAATAGCTGTGTGTTATTTATTGCTTGTGTAACTGTTAAATATCTGAAACTCTGAGAGAATGTTTGCAATGTTGCTTGTAAAATGCTTTATTTATTTCCTTGACAATATGTCATGCCAAATTTTGTCTTCATTGAATTACCATATACAGCATAATCACAGAACTACGGTACATTAATATCGTCAAATGTATTCTGCAAAAACCCTTTTATTGTAGCAACTGTTATATTATTTAATATTACTGAGCCAATATATTCTTAAACACCTAATTTTGAAATACTGTATATCAGTGAAACCCAAATCTGGGCCGTGGTTCAAACGCAGCCCCTACAAGTTTAGCAGTGTCGCCCACCACAATCTGGACTTTTTCTCGTTTTAGGAATGTTTAAATTGTGCAGATACAATAAAATTTACATTCACTTTAACATTATATTTAATTTGTAAACTAAGTCCAAATTATAATACAGAAGCTATTGCAATTCATTGAGTCATTTGCTTTTTATTAATCACAGCATTAGAACATGCAAATAAGTGTATGTGTGTATACTGAGGTTGTCGGTAAATCTACTTTTTAAAAACATTAAGTATCATTGCTTAGTATCGTTTTTATAATTATATTAAATGGCACCTGCTTAAACTACATTGTAAAAGTCACTACAGACTGTGTATAAAAGAGCAAGGATCTCACTTGATAATTGTGACCTTCTGACACGTAATGCACATTTAATGCACACTTTTCAGTCTGTTCATGCATTAAATAATTGTCTCTTCACTCATCATGGTTTCAGGGTTTGAATTTGTTTTTCCTTGTGGGGCTTTTTCTTTTTTACCTCTTTTTCTCTTATTTTGAAGTGTCCTTGCTTCTAATTTAGTTACGGACATTTGTTTGGACTGAGTGGCCTTTTGCACTGAGAGTAATTTTGTTTTAGATGAGGTTGAAGGTGAGTGAGTGACACTTGCTTATGGAGTCCCATGGGTGCTTTGAAGAGTAGTTTCCATTTTGAACTTCTGAGTTACCATTTTCTTTTCTTTGGATGCCTTTCTTTGGGGAACGAGTGACTTCTTTCTTTCTTTTCGATGTCCGTTTGTTTGTAGTATCTTCCTTTTTTCAATTTGGCTCACTAACTTTTGACGTAGCTGAAATGTTTCCCCTTTTGCATAGTCCACTGGAGCGCAGGTTTTTCGGACCTTTGTCAATTGAATTCATTTCGGTTTAGAGGTTCTTTGTTTGCCACTGTGTGACCGTTTGATTGACGCTTCATTGCATGAAAGGTCAGCGGTGCCGCCGTTCTCATTAGTCAGACTGGTAGAATTGTACGCTGTTGAATCTTTCAATACTGCCACAGGTGCAGTCTGGACCTTTGTGCACCTGCAGGAAGAGATCGAAAAAGCACAAATGTATCTCTGGGCTAGAGGCCAAAAGACAAAACAAAACACATTGCTGTCAACATTTTTGTCAGATAGGATTCATTACAAAAAATGATAATGAACGGTTGCATGGTGAATGGGAAATAGATAGGGTAACAAGACCAGGGTTTTCAAGCAGCACTTAAAGGGTTAGTTCACCCAAAAATAAAAATTAGCCCATAAATTACTCACCCTCAAGTCATCATAGGTGATATGACTTTCTTCTTTCAGACGAATCCAGTCGGAGTTATATTAAGAATTGTCTTTGATCTTTCAAGCTGTTTCATGGCACTCAGCGGGTGTTGCATGCATCAGTCCAAAAGAAGTAAATAAAAAGCGCCTATCCATAAATGGGCTGCTTCCGTGTACAACAGTGAGCGCAAGCTGCATTAAAGTGATTATTACATTTTGAATATGGATATTCTTCTTACAAAAACGCATCAATTCGCTACAGAAGGCCTTTGTTCACCCCCCGGAGCCGTGTGAGACACTTTTTTATGGATGGGCACTTTTTATTTCACTTCTTTTGGACTGAAGCATGCAACACCCACTGAGTGCCATGAAACAGCTTGAAAGATCAAAGACAATTTTTAATATAACTCAGACTGGATTCGTCTGAAAGAAGAAAGTCATATACACCTAGGATGACTTGAGGGTGAGTAATTTATGGACTAATTTTAATTTTTGGGTGAACTAACCCTTTAATTCTTTTGACATTCTGCCAGACAGAACAGACGCTTTTACACATTACACCTGGTAAATTACTGTAAACATTTTTTTTGATATATCATCTGCTGTGCACACAAGCAACGGCTATCTTTTTTTCTCATCCCACAAAATTGCTAGAACTAATTAACCAGTATTTTTCAAAATTGAGTTGTTACAGTGACTTTCTCCGCAGGACTCAACACGACTTGCTTGAGGTGAGCCATAGCCTTGACTTGTCTTGTTTTATTTTGTGCACTGCAACTTGAGACTTGACTCAAGGATTTATTTGCTTATGACCTGTAAATAAGTAACTTACTCCCACCTCTGGCACAATGTTATTATAGAGAAACGCATCCTACCAGCAGCAGTAAAATTCAACACCATGATTATTCCAAACAAATATAAGCAAACCTCTCTGTAGGACAAGTAGGACAATGAATGTAGTCAAATTGTTACAGGATGCACAGTTAATACAGAAACAGAAATACAGATTTATGTAGTGGGCTTGATTCTGTAAATGTTGAAAACACCTGGTTAATGACTATGAGCATAATAATTTATAATGATGTCATGCAAATGGTGGAAAAACTGATGTAAATGTTACAAATTATGTGAATTATATAATTATATTCAATTATGATGAAAGCAGGAAAAAAAAAGCATGAAGCATAATTTCTGGAATGCATGATTTCATTTCTTGCACTCACAATCCAGACTTCCATCTTTAATGGAATTAAAATGATTTACGATGACGCATTTGTAAGAATAGTCAGTAAAGACAATGCACACCAAAATGTTCCTGGGAAACCCCATGCACGTATTGGTGACTTTTTGCTCTTGAATCCATCTGCTGGCCTTGATATATGTGTTCTTTGTGCAAAGTGACATTGAAAAACGTGTTGATTTCACACAGACTGGCATCTTCCAGCAGCGTGCTTAAGCTGAAGTGCATTGGTTTCTCATTGTCCCGAGCGCGCTCTTGACGGCAGATTGACCGATAACGCGTAACCAGTGTCCCGTCTCTACACTCTAAAAAATGCTGGGTTAAATACAACCCAGTGCTGGGTAAAATAGGAACAAACCAGCAATTGGGCTGTTTTGACCCAGCGGTTGGGTTAAATGTTTAACCCAACCTTCTGGGTAGTAACCCAACCACTGGGTCAAAACAACCCAATTGCTGGGTTTGTCCCTATTTTACCCAGCACTGGGTTGTATTTAACTCAGCATTTTTTAGAGTGTACTCATGAAACAACTTTCAAAGCGTTTCTCTGATGTCCACTTGCTCCAGTAAAAGAGGGGAGATGCTGAAGTGTCCGGTGAGTGGATGAGAAAGCTAACCTGAGAGCTCCTTTGTTCTGATTTAATGAGGAGGCAAAATGGTGCAGGTTTATGAATTGTTACCGCACTGCAACAGTATCCCACTACTAAAAGATTAACAGCAAGAAACAGACTTCCGATTCGTGTATCATGGAGATGTAGTGACATTGCTGCAGAGACGCGTAGCCTGTTTGGAAGCTAGAAAGAGTCCCGCTTTATTTCCAAACTGGGAAAGCTAAACTATAATGTTTCAGCCTGTTTAACTTACGCTGATGCACAACGCGAATAAACCTCATCAAGTCTGTTTCAGTCCATGCATGAAGAAGGAATTGTGAAAATGATCTGTCAAATGAAAATGAACGAGTACTTTTACCGGTTCTTTCACAGTCGGAGTGAAATTTGGGTTAGCTGCATGTTAAAACTTGTAACTGATGTGGAGCTGAAATGACACATGACTCGAAATCATCCAAACTCCGTTTATACTGAGGGTTTGCAGTCCAATGAACCGATTAAAGTTAATTAAAAAGCTCATGATACCACAATTAAAAATGTTGTTAACGCATTGTTTCACTTCTTCATTACAGAAAATGTCTAAATAACTTTGGCAGTGTTGGGTAAGTTACTCTAAAAAGCAATTAATTAGCTACTAATCTTCAACAGTGTAATTACATTACTGTGCTAATTACTCTCTTAAAGTATTGCATTAGGCTACTTATTACTAATTATTTTCTAAATCTATATCAACCTCGACAATACAAGGATAGACATGAAATTAAGAGTACTCCTTTACTTTTTCAAAGGAAAAGTAATTAAATAGCAGTAAATAATTACTTAATGCATTACACCCAACACTGGCTGTTACATTGCAATGCAGCACATGATTTTAGTCCAGGCGGTAACCAAATGTGTTTATGTTGCCAGGTTTTATAAACAACTTTGAACTTTTTGGTTGGATTTTAGGTCGTATATTATAAGACATAGTAATGAAGTATGACCGCTTTGTGCTATTTTACAGTATAGAGATGTTTTTTACAGTATGATGATGTTTCTCTCATATCTGGCAGGCACTGTATATGGCAAGCTGTATTATCATTTAAAGCTTTGGTTTGACTATTCATAATTATATTTTAGATAGTCACTACTGAATTATGATGACCTGCAATAAATACATTTTGACTAGTTGGTCTCTCTATTGTAAAAATCAGGGTATTATGGAATACAGTATACAACTCATTGACACACGGCACAGAATGACAAAGGCAATTCATATGCTGGTTTGGGGTCCATCCCTAGCCTTACAAAAGCTGTTTTATTATGGTGGATAGATGACTGGATATGTGCGATCCATCACTATGACCGACTAAAGGAGAAGAATGAGGAAGTGATTATGTGTAGGCATGTATTAGTAGACAGGCACATCCTTAAGATCATGAAGTGGCAGCTTTTATATTGGGATCTTGAGAAAGAAAAGGACATGAAGGCATTGGTTTCATCTTTTGCGAGTCAGGACACCATAGTTGCACTGTTGAGTTTTGTGGGCATTGTTGTTTAAATCACAACCTTGTAACATGACCTGCATGTAACAAGGTTTGAAATGTTCCACAACACAGAAAAACTCAATTTGAAATGATTAAACACTACATGTTACAGAAAATAGGATTTTTTGTAGTTTATTTTTGTGACATATTTCAGCCACTGGGTCTAAACCTCATTGCAATGTGCCCTTTGCATTGTGCCGTGACAAGCTGAATTACTGAATTTGAATGCTGGGACATATTTATGCAGAAGAGTTTTACCATTTAAATTGGCATTATAACACATCTGCATTAAAGCAAACTCTGCACCAGAATGTACAGTCCACATGTACAAACTGAAGCTTTTCCTAAGCTCAGAAGACTTGAGCATGAACAGTGTTTCTCTCAGATGTTTCTCCTAAAACTCCTAGAAAGTTCTGAGAGAAAAGGAGTCAAAATTGAGAATGCATGAGAGATTTCCTTATTGACTTGCAGTAATTTCTTTCAAATAATTTTATTGTTCTGAAGTTTGTCTTTGATTACATTTTTTGGGATTTGTATGCATATTAGAATATCATGGGTTACTAGATTAAATTAATCTCCAATGCTTTGCATTGTATATGCAGCACATTTTACAAACACACTACAGAAGTCATAAATAAGTGTAGGAGAATACTTTATTATCTAACCACTGTAACACAAGTGCACCAGTGTTTCATGGTTGCTGCATAACCTTATATCTTTGTTTGTTTAGCATGCATAGTTTCTCTTGCAAACCCCATGTTTGCATGCAAATATAGGTCATGTTTTCCTCTGTTAAATCACTGTGTAAAAAACACTTTTTATGCTAAACAATGTCAAATAAACAGTTTATGTGCAGAGGGCACATCTTTTGTTCTCTGAGTCAGATTGAAAAAAAACTGCTTACTACTCTTATCTAACTCAGTTTTGGATTAATTGGACGGTTACAGGATGTCCGGTCAGAATATTAGGTCTCACACCAGGAATGATATTTGTCTTGGAAGGAAAGGTAAGATCTCTTGAAAAACATTAGAGAAGACAAATGTGAGAACATTAGAGTCTGTAAAAATCTGAGAACATTGTGATGTTGAGAAAAATGTGAGAAGCAGGAGATTCCATTGGATGTTCAGGTAACCAAATTTCTGTCAAGGAGAAACACTAGAGATATTAAAGAGATCTCAGCTGGCATGCACTCTTTTACTGGTGCTAAAAATCTCTTGGTGTTAATGTTCTTCAGTGCACAAAGCATAACAACAATTCATGTCATCAGAAGCATCCATGCAAAGACAAAAAGACTCAAGAACAGCTTTTTCCCACGGGCCTTCAAGCTTCTCAAACGATCTTCCTGGAGTGACTCATTCTCAGCAGACTTGCCAGAATTTTCCACACTTGTCTATTTTAATGCATATGCTTCTTGTCTATGCACACTGACACTTATTGCATATAATCCATTTTATGCTTTTTTTATACTATGAAAACCAACTCTAGCTTTCTACCATGAAATAATGTAAATATTTATTGCCTGGGTAAAATGCGAAGTAGCCTACTGTAAATGCTTTGATCAGGCCAAGTCCTGTGACATGATTTTGCACCAAAGCTCCTGGACAGTTTATATTTCATCTGTACTCCTTTTAAATGGAAGTTCCAACATATTAAAGAGTCTCAAAACCATTTATAAAGGATATTGAAAAAGACTATATTTTATATATTGAACACTTGAATAACACTAATTCACACATAACATGCTCATATATCATATAGACAACACAATACTTGCAAATGCACATTTTAAACTCTTTCTCTCTCTCTCTCTCTCACACACACACACACACACACACACACACACAAAACACTTGTGGACGCATATATTTTTTGCTCCAGACTACAGTGTGGTTTACAGAATTTTTAATTACTGATGTTTTTATGGCTATAGATTATAAAAGTGATTTTTTTAAAGCATACGAAGATCTAGTGAAGTTTTACAAACCTAGTGAGCTGCTCGTAACTCATGATACACTGGCGCGGTACCCTTTCAAGAAAACACTAATACACTTTAGGTAGCCTACTGACATGTAGGTTACTTTTAAAGTACTAATATGCACCTTTAAGGTACTAATATGTAGGAGTAAATAAGATACAAAGATGTACCTTTTAGCTTTATGGGAGCCGCCCCAATGACAGCATTGTACCATTTTTGAGAGTGTAGAATGTTTATAGTGTTGTGAGACCACTAAACTGAACTGGATTTGTTTGGTTTTGTCTTAAATCCAGCTCTATAAGCAAGTTTGTTCTACTTGCTTAAGACAGGCCTCTGAATGAGGCCTCAATATTCAGAAAAGTGATGGATCCGTATGTTTTTCGGAAAAGTACGCCAAATAAAAGCGAAAACTTGTGGTATTGATACGCAAAAATTGACTTTGGCGTGCATATGATACGCATGTGTTTGGCGTGCATATAACACGCAGTTTTCGCGTGCATATGATACGAAATTTGTTGGCGTGCATATGATACGCTGTTTTCGCGTACATATGAGACACATCTACCCCACAACCCTAAACCTACCCATCGCGTAGCATATACACGCCAAAGTCCGATTTTTTGCATATCACTACCACGAGTTTTCGTTTTTATTTGGCGTACTATTTATACGCAATTTCATGAGATCGGGTTACGGATTATTGAAAAACTTGTGCATTTTGTAACCCCCAAATCTTTTGGTTGCATCCTTACCTTGATCTCGCACCGGTTTCTTTTGAAAAGTGGTGCAGATCTTTAGCTTCTGAACACATCTCACCACGGATTATTGAAAAACTTGTGCATTTTGTAACCCCCAAATCTTTTAGTTGCATCCTTACCTTGATCTCGCACCGGTTTCTTTTGAAAAGTGGTGCAGATCTTTAGCTTCTGAACACATCTCACCACTCAGGTTTCCACAGTAAGGTATCACGTGCGTGAAATAAGTAAAGAGGGCTCCACGCAAAGCTCAGAGGCGTCTGCTGAAAGGAAAATCAGGAAAAGAGTGTGTGGCTTGTGATGTGCATGAGCGTCTGAATGAACACGGCCAGCCGCTCTCCTCATGTGCGCAGTCTCTGAGACTGACCTCACTCGGATAGTCCGCATTGTTTGCTTCAGAAGTGGGCGGCTGTTATCAGGTAAGAATACTCGAAATAACATTTTCCTCACTTGGGTCTATTTCAAACATGTTTATTAATACAATGCATGCAAAAAGCATCATTTTCTAATCGACAAACGTGATGGATTCTGTGGATAACGCACGCGTTTGGGTCTCAAACCTGATGAGTTTTGCCATTTGTTTAATACAGAAAAACCTGCATGAAAAAAAAGGAATGGTGTCTTTTGATTTTACATCAGATGAGGTGATAATTGAGCTATATTAAGTCCGTACGAATGCATTCTGCCCTCGGTCATCCATAAACAGGCTATATCCACATGATGGCTGAACAATGGTTGCTGTAAAAATCTGAATCTATGTGAGCTCTGGGTGAAGAATATCTATCGATGGTCGCATTCGAGTTTGCTGTAGGACTGAAAGAACCATCACGCTGTTGTCTTCTAGAAGATAAGCGGAAGGTGTGTCATCTCAATGCGGGTTTTGCTTCTGCTTCACGTTGAGAGAGGCAAGGTGCGTTCAGCTCTGATGGAAATAAAGCCCAGATCGCGAGCGCTTCTTCTTCGAATGCGCAGCGAGGCAGCATTGCTTTGTGCATTTTAGAGTAATTAATACTAGATTACAACATAGTTTTTTTTGTGTGTGTGTGCAATGGGTGTAAATGACCATGCACTTGCTTTCAGGGGTATCCAAACTAGTGTTTTCAGTAGAGATATGACCTAGTTCCACTCTTCACATATTTAGTCATTCTGCTTGCTTGCGGGTGGAGTTTTGGAAGGGTTTTCTCTGTATCGGTTTTTATGTCAGAGAATGATATTTTATGTATTTTCCTCGCAGTAAAAATTTCGCTGGAAATTGATGAAGGCGTGGATTCTTGCAGTCAAATGACTTTACACATTTGAATAATACTGAAGAGATTTGAAGAGATCATTTGACTGCTGTTGTTAATAGATACAAGACGTTTCCAGCAATTTACCCACGAAATAACCCTTATGCTTGCTTGTACATTTCAGGAAAAATAATCAGGTAATTATCTTGTATGTCACTATAGAGCAGTGATGTGCAAAGACATTGAATGAATGTGTAGCTAGCCTATAGATTTGTATTTATTGACTGATTGATTGTCCGCATACAGACTGTATATGCTACTTCTAGAGCAGACCCAGTACAGTTGTGGCTTTTTGCTGTACTGTGTAGTGGTCCTGTCCTTGTGTTCTTGATTTGTTACATGGATTTGTGACCTCTGGACTTGGAGTTCTCCATCGTCCCAGAGCCCAGGTCCCAAGTCTTGTGGTCAATACTGGATGCCTTAAGTCCATTTAACAAAACAAAATGAGCTAAATTAGAAATTAGGCCAACATGTACTGTAAGTGAAGCATGCTGACACATACTCAGCTTTCAAATATCTTTGATTGTGGTGGCAGATGTACACTGTATAGTGATTCATTGAGGAGGCAAATAAAAAACATAATAACCCAAAAAGGTTTTCTTTGAATATATTTGCAGGAATGTACACCATGCTCTTGGCAGAGCCCTCTAAAGAAGTAATAAATCAAATATTAATTTCTCCATATGAAAATGTATTAAAGCTTTAGTATTCGACATTTTCAGCTTCCATTGCAATACTAACCAAACATACTTCATAAACCTACATTTTTTGTTAAATAAAACGTTTTATTGATTTTTTGTTTGTTTGTGTGTGTGTGTGTGTGGGGGGGGGGTTAAAATGTAGATTTTAGATACTATGACTAGCCACTATTATTTCAATGTCTTAGGTACTGGTCACTTTTCAGCTTTTAGCAGTTGAAAGGTGACAAATGAATTGTTAAAAGCACGTGCAGTGATTAATATGCATGCATGATAAAAAAAATAAATAAATAAAAAAGAGAGAAAAACGGTGCTTGGAATTTCACATCACCTACACACATAACTATATATAAACCTTTATCTAGTGCAGCGAAATCTAGCAAAATAAACTATTACAAATTAAATCATTTAAAAAGGGCAACACCTTAAAAATATATTAAAAAATGAGGAATGTATACACATATCTCTAATCTTTGGATAGGTTAATTTGGTTAGTGTGCATAATTGGCTCACATTTTCTATTTTTTTTATGTTGGCAGTGTTTGAATTTGCTGCTTGCAATTAATTTTTAGAAAACAGATAAGCGTAAATAAGCCTTCTGCATTAAGAAGTGCTGTTTCTGCCGGCCAAATGTGCTTTCAACACAGCAAGCGTCTCAAATAGTTCCTGCATTTCTGACTGACGTGAGAATCTGTGGATAATATTACAGTGATAGAAACTCAATATCCACCACTGTACAGTGCAGACACGAATAACTTAAGCTAATGAGCATGCTTACTGTTTGTTTCACTGTTTGCTGCTTTGTTATGCTGTTGTTGTATTTGTCATCACCCATGGTTGTTTATTTATTAACTATCATACAGTGTATTTTTGTATATTTGTAACTGTTACAGTGTCACCAAGTGGTCAAATCACACCAGATGTGTCTTGTGTCTACAGATTGAGACGTTGAATAGATATACCAAATTGTGTTAAAATATCTCATTGTGTTCCAGAGTTATGGCCATTTAAATAAAAGCTGCCACACCTACACTGTAAAAAATGATTGTGATTTTAACAGTAAAAGACTGTAAAAATGCTACAGTAAAAACCTGTTAACTGGTTAACAGTAAGTTTTCATACTATATACAGTGAATAAATGTAATTAAATTTAATGTAATTTTACAGTAAAATACTGTTAAAAATACGGTTTTTGGAAGTGAAAAAGAAAAAGTCATTGTATAATTTACAGTGAAAAACCAAATTGACACTCCCAGAATTCCCTGCATGACACTTCATATTTTATGTTTTTTGTTGAAATAACATGTTTCTTCTTTGTTTTTTCTTATCAGTTGTGTACATTAGGGTTTAATCTTACATCTAATGCTGTTAAATTAATGTTTATTGCATTATTTCAGTATTGTGTGTGTCACTATGATGGTGTTTAGTGTTTGTGTGAATGACACTGTGTGCACCTTCTATATATAAGTATTGTCCTCCTCAGCTCGTAGAAAAGCTGTTTGTGATGAGTTTAGGTTCAACGTGTGACTTTATCATCACCACCAGTTTTTGGTGGTTATCAGTGCATTACAACGGTTCAAAACAGATATTAGTACTTCAATGTGTTGGTTTATTAACATTACATCAGTTAATGAAATACGGCATTTTGTTGTGAATTGAAGTTAAGTCTGTAAAACCTAAAATGTTGCTACCATATTTTTTACGGTGAAGTTCTGGCAACCACAGCTGCCGGTATTTTACCGT